TCCCCTAGACAAGAAATCTACTCCCTATTCCCTCTCTGTTTTATTCCTAAGATGCTATTTTCTTCAAAGGCCTTTGTCTGTCCCAGAAGGTATTTCAGACATGGAAGGCTCCCTGGCTCCCAACTGCCTAAACTCTTCACAAACATCATGAACCATCTAGACATCAGCATTATTATCACTGGACAAAAGGCCCTATATCTTTAGGCAGCTCCAAGAGAGCAGTTGAACTGCCTGGAGTTTTCCTTCTCCATCCATTTAAGCCCAGGGCTTAAGAATCAAGCCATCTAGCCAGAGGATGCTGGCCCAGTGGTCTGTATCTGAACCCATGAATGTGGTGGTCTCAGAGTCAAAGGGATAGGAAAGCTGGAGGGCTGGGTGATGCTGACCATCTGTGGGGACACAGAATATAATCCAAGGAAATGGAAGTGCTACCAGCTCAGGTGAGACCAGAAATCTCCCTCCCAAGGCTTGGCTCCTATGGTAGCAGGATGGGGACAGGATTAGGTAGTGGCTAAGGGTATAGGGTGTGATGCTGAATGGACCTGTGCAGGATTCCTAGATCTGGCCAAATCATCTTTGGCAAATCACTTTCTTTTCTGAGCACTGGCTTCCTCATAAATAAAACAGGGGTGTGAATAGTGCCTAAAAATAATGGATTAGCTATTTTGAGTATGAGCTGAGATGTTACATGGAAAGAACATAGCGCAATGCCTGCAAATGAGAAGCAGGCAATGAAAAAGAGCTCTGAACACCTGTTCACCATGGCCCAATAAGCCAAAAACACAAAGATGCAGGAAAAGCATGGAGAACGTTCTAGTTCACAGGCACAGGTAAATGCTTGAGCTGTTGATGGAAGAGAAAGTTCAAAAGCCCATTGGTGGCATCCTGAGGATTCTGGCAAGAGCCAGGCAGAAAGCAGCAGGCGGGAGAGAAGGGTGAAGGCAGAAAGGAATCTCAGAGGCAGATGGAATTTGGTCCTGAATGGAACTCTGAGGACTGGTCCAATGCTTAAATGTTTATGAGAGGCTGAAATGATCAATGCAAATAAAAACTATACCAAGGGTAAATTGTGATTTTGGAGGTGAGTAGGAAGATACAAATAAGAATTGGGGAAATGGCCAGAAAATGTCAACCTTCTGAAAAGAAAACTCGCAAAAGGTGATAAAAATAGCCATCAATGATGCCTGCCATTTGATCCTGCCATTTTGGGCAGCGGACTGTGTACCCAACTATGTGGCCAACAAGGGCACAGTACATAAAGTGACAGCGCAGAGTGTGGAAGATTTCATCACAGATCAATCATAGCCAGTGGACTACTCAAAATAAATGGAACTATCAAATTTTAGAGCAATTTTATGGTGGACATTACCAACAGCAATAATCAACACAAAGTGAAACTAATAGTGTCTAAAGAAACCACTAAACCAAAAAAAAAATTAAATCTTCAAGAAAATTTGTCTCAATAGAATAAGTTCTATGAGAAAATTTATAATGGCCACTTTCATAGTCTTAAAAAAAACTTGATCAAAATATCTTAGTTGCAGATTTTATGCAGAAATTATTCCAATAAAATTAATTTTAGTAAAATAAAAATGGAAATAGAAAAAAGTTGGAAATAGTTTAACTGCAACAGAGAAAACTGATGAAGGTCTTCAACTGGCTTAAACAGTATTCTCTTCAGCAAGTATTTTCTTCAACAAAAATACATTAGTGTTGCTAAAATTCCAATTTAAATGTTTTTTCTCTTAAACACAGAATTAAGATGTCTTTAGGGGAGAAACTCCAGCAAGTCAGTAGGTGGGCCAATACTTCTGGCTGCCACGAGAACCTTCCCAGGAGTGGCAGCACACAAAATGGTACAGAACTGGGCTGTTGACAGTCCAGGGGTTCCCCAAATCAGGATGTCACTGCACCATATTTCCTAAAAGTCTCACCTAGAGGATATTATCCCAAAGACTCATTTAGGAAATAACAAAGAACACTTAACTGCTAGAAATGATGACCAGCTCTGTGCACTATAAGAAAACTTGCAAGGTGACAACAGTTTGACCAAGTGTTGGGGAGGGAGGACCAGGGGAGCCAAAAGGAGGAGGAGGAGGAGGAGGAGGAGGAGGAAGAAAAGCAGGAGACAGGAAAAGGGAGTGAGAGAAGGGACATGCACTCATGAATACACTGTGTCTTGGGACAGTGGTATTCTACCTATCAGTGAAAGTGCAGAGTGGACAAAATAATTCTTCAGATTTTGCCTTGGCACAGGTGGCTTGTTCTGTAGTGCTGGGGACCAAACCTAGAGCCCACAAATACTAGGCAAGCACTCTACTACTGAGCTACACTACCAGTGCAGCAGAATTTTTTAAAGCCCACCAGGCTTCCTTCCATCCATTCCTGTCCTCATTAGAACAGTTTGATCTCCTGCTTGATATTTGGGTTACTGTGTCTTGGAAGGAGTTTCCTTAAACCACTGGTTCTGCTTTGGGAGCCAAATGGGCCGAGATTGCATGGCAGCTGTCACCTACTCTCTCCACTAATGTCCCTGGTCTTGGCAGTCTCAGAATGGCTGAGAGGGCGGGAAGAGACAGTGCAGGGGACTGGAGAACAGAGGCAGGCCTGTGTTTTCCTCTATGTCCATCACTAGGAAGGTCTGGCCCTCGTTGGGCCGAGATTTCTAGTACAGTGCCTTGCCATCTCTTTTCTAACCCTAAGTCAGTGTCTTTCATCATTGGGGGAACTGATGAAGTCCAGTTTCTGAAACTATGGTTTCCAAGGAGGTCTCCAGTGACCCCACCATGGCCCCTGGGTGTCCATTGTTTCTCTTTGATGTCTTTTTAGCTGTAACTTAAGCTATTGTGGACATTCTTTGGCATTTTAAGAACCTTGGAACTGACTCAAAAGCCCAGAGTCATCCTTCTCACCTCCTACTCCTCTACAGAAGCACAAAGCCGGGGGGCTGTGTAAATCCTCACCAGACTTTCAATAAATCACTCACTTGATGGTTCCAAGTGGCTGTTACGGGTTTTATAGGCAAGAGATATACAATGGAAAATTACAATCAGTGACTCTAATAATAAAAAGTTTCCAAAGTTAATTTTTCCTTTTCCTTCTTCAGCCAGATAGCACAAAATAAATGTTAAGATTTCATTGAAACATAATCTTATTTTTAAAAGCCAGGTAGTATATGAAGAAGAATTAGAGCTGAGATGAAGATCACATGCCCACACCCTCTTCTTCAACCTTGGGGAGGTGCAGTGTCCCAAAACACATTGCTCCTGCTCTACACTTACTCCTGTGACACCCAGTAGCTTTTTATGAGAACCCACATTTGTAGAAGGTGAAGAGACAACTGGGTAGGAAAAGAGGAGAATTTAAAAAATAAAAAACCACCATTTACTGTGCACCTGCAATCTACTACCCCTGTAATCTTGAGTCCTGAAAAGAACCTCACAAGGTTCACACCGTTACTTCTACTGCAGAGACAACGTGGGGGAAAGGTTCAACCTAGTCTCAGGAGCAGTTCAAACTCACATCCAACTGACTTTTTAGCCCTCTTTCTGTATCTCCCCTGGTGTGGGGGCTGGGCTCTTGCTCTATGTAGAGGATTTTTAAGCTGCGTGCTGGTCCTTATCAGGGGTGGGCTTTGACGATGAATCTAGTTCTATTCCTTTAAGGAAACTGGCCTGACTTCCTTCTCTCCCCAGTGATGTGAGCAGCTGGAAAGAACAAGGACAGAGACCTGGAGACCGAAGTTCTAGGCTCCAGCTCTGCTACTTCCTCCCACTCAAACCTCTTTTTGGTACTTAGTTTCCTTATTTGTAAAGTGGGTGTCATAATAACATTACCTTCAACAAGGTTGCTTGATATGAAAGTGCAGTGATAACCATTACTGGGCTTTAAAAATGGTTAAAGAGTTATAAAATGCAAATGATGTACTTGGAAATCTTAAGACTCAGTGGCTAGGAAAGAGACCATCTTCCCCATTGTCACTTTTTCCCTTACCTCAGGAAACAAGAAGGCTGAAGAATAGCAGATAACACCATCAGATACTGCTATTGATTCTTTTGCTGCTCCCCTCTCATGTGAGGGCAAATGCTGAGAGAAGGACACCTGGAGAATGCTAAGACCCATTTCTTGCACTTGCTTATGCTGTGACAAAGGGCCCCTCTCCAGCTTTAGTGGAGGCTGCAAAAGAAGTCCATAGAATGGAAGGAATATTGGGAGAGAAATAGCTCTGCTGAGTGATTTTTTTTCCAGGCCTAAATTTATGTTCACACTGATTCCTTACAGCCCCTCTGCCATTCTTGTTAAACTTACTAATGCACCACAGCAAAGCTGCAGGCTCACAAGAGCACACTTTTAAGAACATTCTAACAGCAAGAAAAAACTTTTTAATTAAAAAAAGTGCATGGTGTAGAGAATTAGAATCTGTTTCAATATCTTCAGAATGGATTGCTACAAACTTTTTAGCACAGGGCTTTAATTTCTAAGGAAAAATAAAGCTATTCATTTCAATATACGTCACTGGTGTACATTATAGTTATGTCTAAATAAAGAAAATTCGGTATCCCAGGCTGGATAAATAAGATAGCTGTCTAAGATGTAACCTTGCCTAGTTTTTTATTTTATTTTATTTTATCACAGAGCCTAGTTAAGCTACAATGACTGCAGAATGGGGACACTAACCTACAGCTCAGATCTGTCACCACTGGGGTGCCTCATGAGAGCAGAACTGGACACTTGGGTTTCAAAGAAACTCTGTTCACTGGCCAGCCTTTCTGCATGGTGCCAGCAGCCCCTGCCTCAGCACCACAGGGTCTCCAACCTTACCTCGACCACTTTACATCCCACCTCCTACTCAGGTCACCGCTTATGGCTTTCTTCCTTCCTGGTCACTCTTCACACCAGCCAGCACCCTGCTCTCCTGCATGGGCACCTCAGCCTGCCCCCACACTGGGGCTGGCACAGATGGGAAGTGACCACAGGCTAAGGGCAGACCTTCATGTTACCTATTTGCCTTTCCAGGTCAGCGGCTTCATCAGGTGTGGCTCGTGGGAGGACTCCTGGGTCACTGAAGCTGGTGCGAAGCAGGGTCCCCATCACAAAGAAGAACAGGATGCCACCGACCACAGGGATGGCGGGAGTGATCTTCACTGCTAGGTATGGACAGCTGCCAATAGGTGGGGGAGGGGGGAGAAAGAAAGGAGATACAATGTTAGGATCAACAGAAAGCTGTCTGCACTTTCCAAGAAGCCCAAAGGTAATTTGGAGAACTGAAAGTGATTTCCATTAAAAAGTCATCTATATTAAGAATTTACATTTGGGGAGGTCTGCATTTCTCTCTGGACAATTGAGCCTTTCTTCCCCAGCCACGACAGCCCAAGCTCTCTGTTCCCAAAGGAGAGATGCTGGCAGAAGAAAGAAGAGTCCTGCTTGCACAACTGGCCTAAGATGTACAGAGCTTGAATAAATATCCACATGCCCTTTGCACGGTAAACACCTCTCATCAATTTACGGTCCTCCACCTGCCTGTGGAATTACAGACACCAACGTAGATTCATTTTCCTTCTCAGGTCCAACCGCACAGGTTCTCTCCACCAGCACAAAACCCTTCGGACTGTGAATTTGCTTGCGAAAGGCAAGAAGCCATTTTTCAATATTTTGGAGGTAATCTCTCCAAGAGGTTAATGAGCTATGGAAATGAACTTGCAGGGGAGTTTCTGTAGAGGTTTAAAGGGATTTCAGTAGCTAGACTATGCTAATCTCATGTTTTTTCCAGAAATCATTTGAACTACCAACTGGTGAACATGGTCCAACTCTTCTGTTGTTATTTTGTTTGTTTTTTAAGAAATGGAGTCTTGCTCTGTTGTTCAGGCTAGCCTTTAAGTCCTGGGCTCAAGAGACCCCTCTGCCTTAGCTTCCCGAGTAGCCGGAACTATAGCTGTATGCCACTGTCCACCTTTTTTGTTGCTGGTGGTCTAGAAAGCTGATGTGCACCAGGTATTGCACAGAGCTAGGGACAGGTGCACTCGGACAGACTAAAGTCTATGCTCAGCCATCTAGGGAGCTGGTGCCTGACATTTGGCCTCAGCTAGCAGTGTCCAGGAGCTGGCATCCAGTGTCCAGGTTTAAGCAGCTGGCCTTGACCTACTGCATGGCTCCTTGGCTCCACAGAGGTGGTGGGAGGCAGAGGTGGAAGTTAGCTCAATATGAGAAGTGAGGTGATGGGTGGGGTCTGCCATGACTGTGGTGGGTCTCTTTTCACCACGTTTAGTGGCATCATGGGTGTGGAAGAACACACACACCATCAGAGGATCCTAACATCTCAGTGGGAAGCACTCCAAGCTTGTCTTCATCAGCAAGACAGTGAAGAGAGGAGCTAGAGAAGAAGGAAGGTTCAGATTAGGAGCTGGATGGGGGTGTGGACTCAAGAGTTCTGGGGACCAGCACCCCACTGCATTCAGGTGTGACACAGGATGTCAGGGGATACTGTGCTCTTGAGGGACACAGTCTGGGAGCCCCTTTGTGGGGATAGTGACAGGAATGTTGGAACACTGGCCTCTGGGAGCCTACAGATGGTACCTAGCAAGCAACTACCATGAATTGGGGACCAAAGGTCTTTCAGAATCCTCTGCCCTACAGAAGCCCAGAGACTTCCCCAAGACTTTAAGAAGGTAGGATTGACTTCCTCCTCGCCAGGTGGACTAGACCCTAGAAGGACTGCCTGAATAGACAGACATAACATCCGTGACATTTTCAACATCTCTCACTGCTCGCACCAACTCCCCTGAAGAAACAGAACAAAGCAAAACCACATCACAGTGTGATGTCATACCTTGTTTGGATTGCCAGTTGTAACATCTTTACAAAGGATTCGTGGGAAACCATGAAAAGTGGACTGCTCTCCTTCCCACATCAACTGTCAGACATGTGAGCCCTTCCGAATATCCCCAGAGAGCCTCATAGGAAAGCAAGTCTGGCAAGGAGAGCGAATGATACAGAGGGCTTGCTGAAGAAAAATGGAACACAAGAAAGTAGGACCTAAAGAACTCCTGCCATGGTGTGACTGTGTCCCTCAAAGTTCATGTGTTGGACACTTTGTCCTCAAAGCAGCCATCCTGAGAGGCAGGACCTTTAAGAAGTGATTAGGTCATGGGAGCTCACCTTTGGTGAATGGATTAATTTTGCCATCACAGGAGTGGGTTCTAGGCTGTAAGAGTGCATGTTCTATAATGTAAATTGAGTTTAGTCCTCTCCAGCTTGCTCCCTTTGTGTCTGTTTCTGTGTCCTTTTCTCTTTCTCACCCTCTTGCCTTCTCCATGGGATGACCGTGGGATGACCCAGCACAAAGGCCTCTGTAGATGCAGGCCTCTGACCTTGGGCTTCCCAGCCTCCAGAACTGTCAGAAATAAACCTCTGCTCTTTATAAGTTACCCAGTCTCAGGCATTCTGTTATATCAGCACAAAATGAACTAAGACACCCCTTTAGAAAAGTATTCTCTTACATTATGGAAATGACTTTAATCCAGTTCATATTGCTATGTATAAAAGGGAATCACTGCTATTCCTTGTGTGGCTTCACGTAAATTCTGCAATAATTAATACTCTTTTTGCAGGCTTCACACTTTTCTCAAACATTGGATTTCATGATTTTAAGGACTGAAAAACACCTAGTTAAACATTTAAGAAACTGGGGACTCCATAACCAGATAAATAGGTCTTAGTTACTCCAGAACCTATAAAGGGAATCTTTTCCTGCAGCAGAGACTTCCTGAAAGATGATACCATTCCATGGTGTAGGCCTGGGTCTGGGGCCTAGCACAGAATTTGCATTTCAACTTAAAATATGTAGAGAATAGACAAGTATTAACAGGGAATGACCATTTTCCTGTTATAAATCCAATATAAAGTGACAAGCAAAAGCTCATCAAACTTGAAATCCAAACTGTTTACAAGTTGCTGCTCTCCATGACAGGGTGTGGGGCAGCAGGCTGTAGGGACAGGTACCTGTTTGGGGGCATGTCTAATATGTCAGTGAGGCACATCCAACAAACAGCTAGTGATAAAAGTCAGTCACTGCAAGTCTGGTGTCTTAACCTCAGACTGAGACATCAGCCTGGGGTTAATATGACAGGACTCACAATCTAGGAGTTCATTAAAATACTACGTGCTGTCACACAACATGGCATTAGCTTTGCTGCTCTTACGGACATATAAAAAAAATAACCTGAGGTTGAATTAAGCCTTGAAAAACCTTGACCAGAGTGTCATGATCAGTAATAAACAACCCATGTCAAATTCAATCAAAGCAGTGAGACAATGTTAAATTTGCTGAGGTGATAATGTTTACCTAGTTGTGTGACAGGTCCTCATTCCTAGGAAATACACACAGATGTATTTAAAAATAAAGCACCACAAAGTATATAGCCATCTCTCAAATGCTTTAGAAAAAAGTGGTGTAGATAGAACAAATGGAATAAATATTAACAGGTGAATCTAGGTAAAGGGCAAATATATGTTCTTGTACTATTCTTATAACTTTTCTGTAAGTCAGGTTCCAAAAGACAAAGGTCACATGTTTTCTCTCATAATTGGAGGACAGATCCAAATACAAATATAAGCATTATCATTCATATATATACATGTATATGTAATGAAGTTTCCATAAGTAGGCTTGTTAGAGGAGATTAAAGGAGGAAGCAAAGAAGAAAAGAACAATAGAGAGTGAATAATACTGAAATACATCACATCTATGTTGAACAAGCCACAGTGAAACACACTGAAGACTGCAGAATAATACAAGGTAGGGGGAAAGGGTAAGGAAGAGTAACAGACAGTTAGACTGATTAAAATCTAATATATTTACAGATAAAATACCAAGGCAAAAATTCCAGCAAATAATGAACAGACCTTAATTATGAAAGACAGGAATGTAAAAGAGGTCATGTTAAAGCAGTAATAGTGGGAGGGGAGGGTAAATGATGAGGGTGAAGGAGGGCGGAGATGGCTGATTACTTTCTATACATGGATGAATATGGAACACTGAAGCCTGTTGAAATCATTTTAAAAAGGAGTGGGGGAAGAGGGAGAATAATGGAGGGGATGAACCAAACTGGGGTAAAAAATAAAAGAAATATATATATATATATATATATATATATATAAACAAAACCTCCCATATAACTATCAAATACTAATAAAAATGTTAAAAAAGAGAAACACAATCCATATTGGAAACACAAAATTAACCATGGTACTAAATAATAGATTTATACACACACACACACACACATATATATGTATATATAAAAATCCCAACATAGACAGATGATAGATAGACAGACAGATAGATAGATGGATGGATGTCATGGGGTATTATTTTTTCAAAATGGTTAGGCAAATAATTTATTATATAAAAGAGGATTTTCCAGAAACACCCACCATTGACCATCATTTGAATAACGGCAGAGAATAAAATAGCCCATGTCCTCTGTGTTTCTCAATATTAATGAACTGCAATAAGAAAAAATTGGCAGAGCTGTTAAGCCAGCATCAGCCCAGCTGGATGAGGTAAGCCAGTTCAGGCCCAGTCAGTAGGGTGAGCTCCACCTCCAGTGTTTGGAGTTGTGATTTGTTCAGCTCCACTTAGCAACTCCAAGGATGGATACCTCAGAGCTCTGAAAACCCTTTTGTGAAGGTGACAGCGTCGATCTTAGGTTTTGATGTGTTTTCCTCTTTTTAGGTCTGAAATGTAACTTGGTTGACCTCAAAACCTGCCTGCTTCAAGCCTTAGAGTGACTTAGAGGAATGACCTTGCCCTACCATAACTATTTCTTGTCGCAGGTGACAGAGGCAAGGCTGTGGTCTTGAATGACACCAGGCTGATGCTCTGGTGGCCTCTCATGGTCTCCATCTTCCCAATAAGGAAGACCCTTCCCTTGCTACTGTCTTGACACTCAACAGACATCAATGTCCTTAACTTAAGTTATTGGTCCCTGGCACAGTCTCAACACAGAGACAGTGCCTTGTGTCTTAAGCTATTTACACTCAACTGCACATGAATTTCTTCAAACCTATCCCACGAAAGGAGGAAGTAGAGGTGACCTGCTAGGGGTTCAGAGGAATGGTGGGGTGAATCTGAGGTTGCCTTTTCTGGCTCTCTGGTGAGCC